CGGAAGATTCAGGAGCAACAAAAGAAAGTATTTCTTCTTAACATAATGCGTAGTTGCACTATGGAATTTGCTCACACAATAGGGAGTGATGGCCACCAACACAGATGACTTTAAATGGAGGGAAAGGCTATCAGTGGCTACTAGAGATGATGGCTATGTTCTACCTCCACTGTCAGAGGCAGCATATGTCTCTAATACCACATCTGGGAAACTGCAAGAGGGGAAAGTGTCCTTATGCTCAGGTCCTGTTTCCTGGAGGCATCTGGTTGGTCACTCTGAAAGCAGGATGCTGGACTAGGAGGGCTACTGGGGCCTGATCCAGCAGGTTCTTCCTATGTTCTTGTACTCTGAATTTGGATATTCCCTGTAAAATCTGGAGTCTTTTTTCTCTTTCCAACTCCCTCCCTCCGACAGGAACCACCACAGCGTTTTAAAAATATGTGGTATTATGAAATAATAAATCAGCACCCCCAAATATCAACATTACTGTTGTAAACATACTAAACTTGTGGAACACCTAAGTAATGCTCAGCTTGCACTAAGAGACCCCTGTGTTCCTGGGGAACGTATGCATAGCCCACTGTGATCCTGTGCCATAACTTGTCAGCCATTTAGATAGGCAGGAACCAATTGTGAGCTATAAATACTCCATAGGTTTTCACTGTAGTCTTTTTAAGTTCCATGGCAGCACTTCATATCTCTGCAGAGAGAACACTCCAGAAACACTCTTATGGGCTCAAAAAAGTTATACTGTGTGTGCTGAAAGAAAATTCAGTTGCCTCTGGGGCTGCTTGTTCTCTGAAATGGCATGCAGAATGCTGAAACAGTGCAATCACTATTAGGCAACACTCCTTACTTTGCCTTAGGGTTTGGGATAGACAGCCAGATAAGGAAGGGACTTAGGAAGCTGCTTTTTACATTGAGTCTGACCATTTGTCCATCAGACTTAATATTTTCTACTCTTGACTAGCAGCTGCTCTCTAGGGTTTTACAAAAGGACCTTACTTAGTATTCCCAGGGACTGACTCTTGGCACCTTTTGCATGTAAAGCATTTGCACTCCCATAGCGCTGTGGAGCCTTTTCATCAACTCAAATGCAATGGACACACTAGAGACCTTAAGGAGAGGAAAATCACTCCTTTGCCCACCACCCTATAGTGGAAGCCTTGACACACAATGAAACACCATCAAGCTAAATTGTCATGTGGGATTGCTGTTCCACCTCTCTTAACAAATGAATACAGCTCTCTGCAAACATTTGTTTATTGCAAAAGGGGGGAAATCTGTGTTGTTTGTCATTATGGTTTCATTTAAACCCCATTTAGAACATTAAGGCCTTGTTGTTTACTCAGTAACATATGATTATATGATTGCTCAGATGAAAGGTAGGCGGAGGGAGCAAGAGCGCAGCGAGGAGAGAGAGAAAGGAGGTGGAACGGCATTTATTTTCCTGATGCCTCTTGGACAGAAACTCATTAAGGTTTAACTCGCATCCCTTGAAGCAACCCTAAAGCATAAACATAATGCAATATATATACTACAAAAGAAAGTTCTCAAGAGGAAAATAGCCTGGATGTGGTCCAGGGAAGGTTCTGCACTGTCTCAGCTGCAGGAGATTATTGACCTTCAGAAACTTTGGCAGCTCCACCAGTATGGTGCATGCTGGTATCCTTGGGTCATGATGTCAGCTGGTGTCAGTCACCAGTCTCCCTAAACCAGGGGTCTGCAACCCGCGGCTCCGGAGCCGCATGTGGCTCTTTTACACCTTTGCCGCAGCTCCGGGGCGAATACTAGCGAGGGGAGGAGGCGCATTGTGCGCCCCGACACTCCCCACTGTGGCGGGCGCTGTACTGGCTGTGACGTCGCATGGGGGCGGTGCGTGCGTTAGTCACGCACCGTCCCGACGTCACCTTCCCACCCGCTGTCAGATCGGAGGGCAGCAGCGCGCATGCTTTAAATGTCGCAATGGTTTTGCGGCTCCCAGTTTTTTTTTCTTCGGAAACGGGTCCAAGTGGCTCTTTTTCTCTTAAAGGTTGCAGACCCCTGCCCTAAACAATCTAGCTCAAGATAGGCAGCAGATTGCAACTCCTTCCTGCTAAGAAATTACAGGTACTCTCACAGGTTTCTGTGTTGTGTCCTCTTTCCTTAGGAGAATGAGTCCCTGGTCACCCAACCACTCAGCTTCAGTGGCGTCTCTATCAACTTTGGGCTACTCTTGGGAATAATTCTGAACTATACCTGGGGATTGGGATTCGTTACAGGTATGGCTTGGACACTGCTGTTTGCAGGTAAAATATCTGCAAGAACGTCTCCTTCCATATCCACCTGCATGTGCTTTAAGAGAAACACATGAGGCTCTCTTGGTGGTCCCTACACAGGCTGCAGTATTTGATGGGGCCTCTAGGGAAGCATCTTTTCAGCGGCATCTCTCACATGCAGAATTCTCTCCCTGCTGAGCTGCGTCTGACCCCATCTCTTAATAGTTTTAATGCGGTTGGTTACAAGACATATTTTGGGGGGATGGATGTCTAAAGGAGGCAAGACAACAGATTAGTTGCTGGTGCTATTAGTAACTGTCATTTAGTGAACTGTTTCAAGTTATTGTGCTGGTAATTTTTAAGGGTTGTGTTGTTTTATTCATTATTTTCATCTGATTTGATTTAGTTGTAAACTGCCTCATGCAAAGGGTGATATATGAATCTAAATAAATAAATAAAAGCTGGCTTTTCATTGACCTTAGGAACATAGAGAGCTGCCTTCTTCCGAACCAGACTCATCGGTTCATCTCACTCAGCATTGTTTACACAGCCCAGTGGTGGCTCTTAAGGGTTTCAGGCAGGAGATTCTCTCAGCCCTACTTGGAGATGGTGGGAATTGAACCTGGGAACCTTCTGCATGCAAAGCAGATATTCTACGACTGAGCTATGGCCCTTTTCCTCAGGTAAAGCTTAGCACCAGATGGCTACTTGTCCTTTCTTAGATTTTAAGTCTCCGTTCCCTCTAGGTAGGTAGAGGCCGGATTTCTGCTTCCTTTCCTGGCCTGCTCTCTTGACTATCACACTCCATCATCCACCCAGGCTCCTTGTTTGCTCCACTCTGCTTGGGACCCCAAGCGATGCATTTGGCTGCAGTTGCACCTGGACAGCCTTGCAATGGAAAGTGTGAACCAGGCCTGTCCCTCTATCTCATTTGCCACATATATTTATGTGCTGACCTTTAAAGCCCTAAACAGCCTTGGTCCAATATACCTGAAGGAGCGTCTCCACCCCATCCTTCTGCCTGGACACTGAGGTCCAGTGCTGAGGGCCTTCTGGCGGTTCCCTCGCTGCGAGAAGCCAAGTTACAGGGAACCAGGCAGAGGGCCTTCTCGGTTTTGGCACCTGCCCTGTGGAATGCCCTGCCACCAGATGTCAAAGAGAAAAGCAACTACCAGACTATTAGAAGACATCTGAAGGCAGCCCTGTTTAGGAAAGCTTTTAATGTTTAATAGACTATTGTATTTTAATATTCTGTTGGAAGCCGCCCAGAGTGGCTGGGGAAACCCAGCCAGATGGGCGTGGTATAAATAAATTATTATTATTATTATTATCTGGAAGGTATGCTCTTAGATAAGCCCTTTCCAGATTGTAGAAGCCCATGGTCCAAATTGCCTGCTTTTACTGTATGTTAAATCTATTTAAAAAGTTACATTCCAACCCCAGGTTTCCTCCTTCCTCCTGTGTGGAGGATTTGTTTTGGAAACTTTTCCATTCAAGCCTAAATGGCTCATTTAAAACTCTCACCTGCAGGCCACTGTTTTAATTAGCTTTTGGCAGGATAAGAGTGATGAATGGCCACTCAGAAATGGGGCTAGATAAGAATGGCACAATCCTATGCAGACTGAGATCCCCAAGCAGAAAGCAGAAAGTAGCTGGTCACGACCAATTCTAGACTCTGCCATTCCATGAGGATCTTTTGTGTTGTTTTGCAAGGTGTCAAGAGACAACTGGCTCCAAAATACTGAACTAATTGAATCAGAAGGCACAGCCCAACTGTGGGCATTCTGCTTACAGAACATCTTCTATATCATTCAGCATCACTCCCGGCTCCACTTTTATTTCTCCCCAGACACTATTTTTCACCATTCAAATAAATCAATTGCTGAATTGGGGAGAGAAAGACAGAGAGACAAACGGACCAATCTCTTCAGCTTGCTGTTAAGCATGCACACATCCTTCCAAAAACATAGCCGTCTTTTACCTTTTCTAATTACTGGTGAAGATTAAGACAGGTAACTTTGAGCTGACTTTGCACTATGCAAAGAGGAAAGGGAGCTCTTATGAATAAGTTATGTCCAAGGCAAAAGAAAGAAAGTTTCAGAGAACGGCGACAACTAAAACTTCAACCAACAGCTTGGGTGTGTTAAGACATTTGCAAGACAATTGCAATTGACTGAAGACAATTTCAACCAACCTGAATGCGCTGTAGCCTTCTGAGTGATACTGTGTTATACTGGTTTGTCACATACCAATGGTCAGCCACTTCCATGCATGCTACCATCAACATAAAAACAAGAGAATGCCTCTGCTGACATGGGATAAAATACTAGAGGCAGCTGAAATTCTAAGCAAATGTCTTCTTTAGGAGAAGGTCCTGCAGGAGACATTAAGACAGATGGCGGCTGGTGATCAAAGCTGCTCTACCCCACCAGCTGTTACCATGCTCTGCCCATGTTGCCCATGTGGAATGTGGCCCTTGAGGGAATCTGGCCCTTGGGCTGCAAAAGGTTACCCGCTCCTGCTCTATGCTCCAAACCACTATTCATCTGCATTACAGGTTCTCCCACGTGGCCAAACCTGGAAGTTTCCCAAGGGCATTTGACTGCCTAGTGCTGCTGGGGACAGAATGCTAGACTAGATGGACCTTCCTTTACCATTCCAAACACTAGACGCAAAGTGGAAATGCAAGATGTCCCTGGAGTGTGTGTGTGTGTGTGTGTGTGAGAGAGAGAGAGAGAGAGGGCTGTAGCTCATTGGTAGAGCATCTGCTTTGCATACAGAAGATTCCCAGTTCAATCTCTAGCATCTGCAAGTAGGGATGGGGATGTATCCTGTCTGAAACCCTGGAGGCTTGCTGCCAGTCTGTGTAGACAATACTGACCTAGATGACTCAATGGTCTGACATGGTTTAAGGCACTTCCTATGTTGCTATGGGACATAGGAACTATGAGAGTAATTGTGAAAAGATCCTGCAAAAGGGGGGGGGGATGTCACCATGCAGAGTAACCCATTGGATAGGATCAGCATGTGTTATAAGCAAGCTATCTGCAGTGCACTAGGCAGGCTTCTTCCCTGGTGCGAGATGTGCACCCTGTCTGCATAATTCCCATCCTTTCCGAGTGACATCTACTCTGTAACTACCAGAAAATCCAATGATTGATATATGATTAGAATAATGGGGAAAGAACTTGTGCTTGCATAAGTCACAATTCTGTCAACTCGTTTTGACGAAGAAACTGAACAAACATGTGTGGCATGTAATGAAGAGACTGAGCCACTTCCAACCTCTTCAAACAACAGACGAGGTTAACAGCTAAATTAAGTGTAGAAGGAGCTGACAGAACGGTCCATGGGCTCTGGCAAAACATAAACCTCCAGGTATGCATGCATTTTCAGCCTGGAAGCAGTGCACAGGTAACATACGTGGGCACAGTTGTCATTTTGCAACAAATTGCTCATTCCAAAAGTACCTGTCAGGGAACTGCCATCAGCTCAGGGGCGAGAGGGGGAAAGCCTGGTGGATTACAGAGAGCCCCCAAAGATTGTGGGAAGCAGCACCTCCTCAGCGGAGGAGAGTAACCACGCCTCCAGTGGAGAGGAGCTTCAGGGCTCGGAGGAAGTGAGGCGGTGCCAGGACACCTTGCCTGGGCAAAGCGGGGAGGAGAGAGGTCCTCCGTTACCCACGCCCTCCCTGCGCAGTAGGCTTCTGCGCCGAGAGGGGAGGCGCAGATTGGGCATCAAGAAACTCTGCTGGGGAAGGTTTAAGGACCGCCCACTCTCAGATTCTGCCAGTGAATGAGCCAGCCACAGAATAGTGGCACTCTATAACGAGGCTTTACAGCCGACCAGGGAGGCATTTGCCTGATTGCTCTCGAGTAACCCCCTGATATCCTTACATTACCGTACTTCAGAATGTAAAAAAAAAATCAGTTCATGCTAGCAAGTTGTCAGACCCAGTTCCTAGGATAAAAAATTCTGGACCACCAGAAACAAATGTGTGTTGAGAGGAGAACCAGGGAGGTGTTCTTCAGTATTGGGTACTGTGGGAGAAAATTCCCTTTGTGGGCTCACCCATTATTCAGTACAGTGGTACCTCTGCTTTCGGAGGTCCATTCTTAACCTGAAACTGTTCTTAACCTGAGGTGCCACTTTAGCTAATGGGGCCTCCCGCTGCACCACCGGTGCACAATTTCTGTTCTCATCCTGAGGTAAAGTTCTTAACCCGAGGTACTACTTCCGGGTTAGCGGAGTTTGTAACCCGAAGTGTTTGTAACCCAAGGTACCACTGTAATGCATTACTGGACAAAGTTCAAAAGAGTCTGTGGGAGCATTAGCACACCCTATATTGGAAAGAAATGCCATCTAGGTGGTTTCTTCTCCAGCCCTTCAGCTTCTGCCACCCCAGCACCATATCTCATCCAACCACAGCCCTTAAGAACAATTACTCAGTCTCCCCCCCCCTCTTTTTTTACTGTATATGCAGAGCCCTCCTTTTACCTTACCTGGAGTTGTTTTTCACTCTAATAGTCAGAGTTGGGTTCCTCTGAAACTGCTTCTTACCAGTTTTGTGGTATGGCCACACACTTAAATAGTGACACTGGCTTTACCGATTAAGGGATTTTACAGAATTTCTGCCTTGGTTTATCTTGAAGACAGAAAGCCTGTAAACATCCCGGGACATGCGAATGACCCTTTCATATATGCAAGGGCAAAGACTGGGTGTAGACACACAAACCTTTTTCAGGCCACAGCAAAGGAAAATAAAAATAAATGAGAAAGGAGGTTTCCCTATGACACGCCTTCCTTTCGCATAGTATCTCCTCAGTGTGAATACAGTTCACATATGTACATTGATATATGGCAGTCTGTCCTAACGAACACTAAGAATTGTAGTTCTACAAGAGGCTGAAGGATCTCCCACAGGGAATTCTTGGTACACCACTGGCTAACCAAGGCCTAGATCTCTGCATTATTACCAGATGTCACCTGTTGGAATAAGTCTGATAATTTGGTAATTTACCAGCTTCTGGGTGGGGTTGCACTCCTTCTCTGAAGGAAAAAGAGTGGAGCTTGGATGTGCTATTGAATCCATCCTAGCCAACAGAGGCATTAAGTTACCTTGGGGGCAAGGTACACCTATTGCTAGCCTTGGCAGATGCATCTGCTACAACCAATCCTGGGCATGGATAGCCTAGCCACTGCACTGGCAAACTCACCATTGGATCACCAACCATAATGCACTTCATGTGAGAATCATAGAGTTGCAGAGTTGAAGGGACTCCGTGGATCATAGAGTCCACCCCCCTGAAATGCAGGAATCTCAACTAAGGATGCCCTTAGGATTGGTTTGGAAGCTACAGCCGGCACAGAATGCAATAGCAGCAAGGGTTGGCCTGTGGGATTTTCTACTGTGCACACATAACACTTGTGATGAAGAGCTGCACTGTCTACAGATTCAAATTCAACCCTAACTTGTTCTCACTTTGACAATTTGGAAGAGGTTTTTGGGGGGGGCAGGGGGCTTCCTGCTTTAGGATATTTATAGGTGATTTGCCTGGTTTTTTGGGAGGGGAGGTATTCTGAGCATCGCCAGTTTTTTTTCTGTGAAATGGATATTTTGCAATACCCACAACCATTTCTTAGATTTCCAAATATGCCCCTGGGTCCAAAAAGGTTGGGGAGCCCTGCTCTACATGAGTAAGCTGTGAATAGGAATATTCTGTTTGTGCAAAGTGATTGAAACCTAAGGAATTTGTAGACACTAGCTTTCATTTATGAGCTGAGCTGCATCTGAAGTTCCTCAGTTATATAATATAACAGAATGCAATTTTGTATTTTTTTTTTTAAAAAAATAACTTGTTTGCATTCCTTTGTGCACAACACCATTAAAGCCACCTGCTTGTTCCTTTGCCAAACTTCAGAAATAAGGGATAATATTGCATTCCAGACTGCATCTGGTATTCATTAGTACTTAGCTTACTTACTTGCTAATCTAAATTGCATCAGTTTCCTTCCTGGTTAATTTTTCTCCCGCTACCTTTGCTCAGGGCTTTTACGCCATCTGCTGAAGCCTACAGTCTATGCAAGCAATGCTCTCAGACTGGATCAGCTGTGAACACAAGAGCCTCTAGGAAATTGTGTGAGTGGGGGGAGATGAAACACTGTCATGAAGAGACTGCTGCAGCAAAAATCATCAGTGCAGACTTTCTCCAATAAAGGCTTGTGCAGAAAATCCATCCTGGCTTGTATCAATCTAGTGATAAGCATAAGCACAATAACACACCCTACCTGGTTAGGGCTGTGGAGGTTAACCCAGAGTTTCGGCCTGGTTTTTGAAGAGCATTAAAGACAGAAATTCAGAGATAAGGGATGTGGTACCCACAGTGCTCTGTGGACTAAAACTCTTATAATCTCTGACCGATGGCCATGCTAGTTTTGGTTCAAAGTAGCTGTAGGGTACCACTTGGGCTACCTCAGCATTCAGCAGCTGAGCTAAAGTAGATAATTTCTTCCTGTGCATTTAACAGCAGCCTAAGACAGAGATATGGAACTGCTGAAGCCTGCAATCCACGCAAGCAAGGTTTCTCAAGCTGGATCAGTTGCGAACAGTACCGGCCTCTAGAAATCAAGCACCATCCACTTTATCTCTGTGCCAAAGGTAAAGATGCCGAAATCCAGCATCGCCTGAGCTCTGCGAGTGCAGCTTTCTCCCGATTGAAGTGCAGGGTGTTTGAGGGCCAGGACATTCACAGGGAAAGCAAAATGCTTGTTTACAAAGCTGTTGTACTACCAACCTTACTATATGCTTGTGAAACATGGACCACTTATAAACGCCATCTCCAGCTCCTCAAAAGATTCCATCAATGGTGTCTCCAGAAAATTTTACACATCACTTGGGAAGACAGGCGAACTAATACCAGTGTACTGGAAGAAGCAAAGATCACCAGTGTTGAAGCAATGATTCTTCAACATCAACTTCATTGGACTGGCCATGTTGTGCGGATGCCTGATGATCGTCTTCCAAAGCAACGACTCTATTCCAAACTTAAAAATGGAAAGTGTAATGCTGGTGGTTAACAAAAGAGGTTAAAGACTGTCTCAATGCAAATCTAAAGAAATGTAGTGTAAACACTGACAACTGGGAAACACTGGCCTGTGAGCACTCCAGTTGGAGAACAGCATTTACCAAAGGTGTCATGGGCTTTGAAGACACTCAAACTCAGGACACAAGGGAGAAATGTGCTAAGAGGAAGGCACGCTTGGCAAATCCACACTGTGATCAATTCCCACCCGGAAACCAATGTCCCCACTGTGGAAGTGGGGATGTGTGGGTCCAGAATTGGCCTCCACAGTCACTTACGAACTCAAATATCAAATGGAAGTTATTATCATTCTCTTTCTTTCCCTCTCTCTCTTTCTGCCACTCCTTTTGCCCTCTCTGCACCCCCCTTTCCCGCTTCTTTGCAACCCACCTGACAATAGGCCAGGGTCCACATACAGACTGAGGACTATAGATTGCCCAATGCTTTGCAGCCCTTGTCCTACATGAGCCTGAGCATTAACATCTTCCTCTGAGGTCCTTCTTTGGGTCCCCAGACGGGGGAGCGGGTGGAGAGCCTTCTTCATTGTGGCACCCCCACCTCTAGAACGCTCTCTCCTAGGAGGCTTATCTGGCACCAAGCACGATGGTTTGTTTGGCTTTTTGGTGTCATGTGGAGAACTTTTAATTTCCTCTGGCTTCTCTAGAGCAATGCCTCCTTATTTTGAACCTCTGCTGTTATTTTGTTTACTGCTGCTGTTCTTGTTTTATT